GAAGTCGAAGTTTTGCCACTGACTCGACAACTTTGTGAAACTTTTAAGACCGTTTATTAGGTCGCTTTAATAAGGGATCACTCTGCCGCATATAGCGCCAAACTCAGGGCAATATTGGTTTGTGAGAATCTTCAGTAAGCGATGTAATTGCAGATAGTGAAAGAGAAAGCTTTAGGGATAAGTATATAGACATATGTTTTGAGATAACATCAAGGTGAGACCCTACGTATTAGTTATGAGATGACCGAATGATATTTGCCTTCCTACGGTTACCACTTGTTACGGTTCGAATGCAAAAACTTTGTATACAACTCATATATTGGAAAAATAGATGGCCTAAGTTCTAAGTACAGTATCCCAACGATTCGTCACCTTCGTTCATGATTCTAAACAAAGTGCTTTTGCCACACAATAATTGAATGATTCATAATGAGCTCATATTTGTTGTACCCCAGTCCTATTCACAAGGTATTGCGTTCTGTAATTATGGCCTTTTATCAGGCCAACAAAGTTATATGCTCAGTTAACGTCTCGCTGCTTTAGAACTGCTATTTTTCAAGCTGATACCCTTTTCTATTTTAATTGATTTCTCATCGTTGTTTGTATTTGGGGCAAAGAGTTCAACACCACTCAAACATGATCATAAGCATGTCTGAGTGGGAATGAAGTACTGCATAATGCCCTTGTATCAAGAAGTTGTTAAGAATTTTTACCATAATGACATGCTTTACCGTTTGCAATTGAAATTGACCTTTTCTGAGCTCTGTGCCACGTGTCATCTCGGGTGAATAAAATATTCTATTCTTGGCGTTTCCTCCCCATCGTTTCATCTGGTATCGGTTGAAGTGGCGCAGTCAGAGCGCACCACCATCATAAGCCACCTTTACTCTTGTCATTTGAAAACTTTCAGCTAGTGCTGGAACCTAGACGTTCCGTGATATAAAGCAAGCAAGCAAACAAACATGCGCATTTATTCATGCCCACATACATACGTACTGAGATGTGGTGCAGTTGGATCGAAATTGTCGCTTCGCGGCGAGGGCGATGTCGCGCGCGAATTAATGCAGCAGAGTGAAGCAGAAGCATCATAATTGTAAGAAATATAGAAACAAAAGAAGTTATAATAAATAGAATCACGTCAGAACTAATGACCATATACCGATTGAGCTGTATGGAAAACGTTAAAACTTCAATAACGAGACAACTAGCCCGCGAATGCCGCGCACGGCTGATCAATTACACAAAACCGAGTCAACTGCTCGTCTCCCAAGCATACGGCAATGCATAGATACTCAACATAATGCGTGAAAGAAGGTCTCTGCAACCTTAGCATTGGAAAAGCAGTTGCAAAAGACTTAACTGAATCTTCGAAAATCACCGAAACGGATGGATTATCCGAGAAAGGAAGGTTCATCTCTGCTTTGTTGCTATATGTTTTGAGCAACAATGATGGGGCATCATCAGAAAGCTAAGCCAACCGAAGGGGTCGCTGGTGTATGGAAGAATCATTGCACACCTACAAAACTGAAAAGGACAGCCAGGTGCGAGCACATCACTTATCTGTTCGTGAAACGCCTAAAAAGTACTTCTGAAATTCTACTATTTGCATCTTTGCAGAGATTCTGAAGCTGTAGCGATATGGGACTACGACGGTCTCTGAAGGAATTGAGCAGCAATCAGAGAATAATGTGTCTAAGTAGCTCTACAGTGCAAGAAATTTAGTTTGGAAGAGTAATTTACAGTAATTGTAAGTTGATTTAAAGGCAGAAGATGATCCCTGCAAAGACAGTTGCTGCTAAATGAAATCGAATTATCCTCCCTCAACTTCGTATTTGCATAACATATTGCTGTGTCCATGGCAGGTCGGGAAGAGTAGGAAGCTTTATTAAAAGCCATGAATAACAAATGTACAACAAATTTACAGTTTATATACCGCTCCGGCCGTAAGATCTCCTGGTCAAACTGGGAAGGTCAGTACTATACAAGATCAACTACTCTACTAATAGAGATTACAGAAGCCCCAACACATATCTAAGTAGAGAGGTCGACTTCAACCGACCCACTGCTAGTGGCATTGAGAATAAAGGAGCTCCTGTGGTACTCAACAGTATAAAAAAGCCGAGCACGAATGTATTCACCATTCTACCTATGCTCGCGGTTGCGGTAGCGCTTCAACTGGTAATTTAATACAAATCGTATAGTTGTTTACCTGAGTATATGTAATTTCAGGTTCTAAGTACATCTGTATTGCCTGGTACGTGTGATTACTGTTATCCGCCATATTTTGTAATCTGATAGACCTGTAATCTCATTATTTTCAGATATTTGTAAGCTCAACAATGGAATGACAGATGACGTCAGAAAGGCGTTCCTCAACGAGCACAACCATCGTCGGTAATATCCACTGAGCAATGAGAATAGAGTGGAAGTTTAGGTGACGCCAGATATTTTAGGTCAGAAGTTGCCAGAGGCCTCGCCAATGATAAAGCTGGTGGTTTCGCTCCGAAGGCAGCAAAAATGTGGAAAATGGTATGCTTGCACTAAAAGTTGCTGTAGTGGCCAACCCTTTGCAATGTGCAGGTATTGTAGAATTACGACTGTAAAATTGAAGAGAGCATTATGGAGTGGGTAAGTAAATGCAACTATGCCCACTCTCAAAAGGAGGGATACGGAGAAAGCATTTGGGCCTCAAGTGACAATCACATGGATTTGAAGAAAGCCGCGGAGTCTGTGAGATGATCAGGTTTGAGCAGGCTTTCTAGGAAATTAGCATAAGGTTTTTGCAGAGCAGCAGTATGTGGTTCGCAGAACTAGAGGAGAGAGGCGTTGGAAAGGAGCTCAAGCTCACTGAACAACTATTCAATAGAAGAGTTGGGCATTATACTCAGGTTACTCTCGAGCGTTGCTATAAAGGCGAGTCTTGACGAAAAGGAGATTTTCTTTCAGATGGTTTGGCAAGATACTACAAAAATTGGATGTGCAGTAAAATGGTGTGATAAAATAACGTTCGCAGCTTGTCAGTATCAGACTCCGTAAGTTCATTTAAGTCAAATAATCCCTTTTCTCCAAATTTTTGCGTAAAGGTTTTACCGTGGAATGCTGCCTTTTTCCATATTTTTTCTCACTGGAATAACTCAAATTTCAGAGGAAATATAATGACCTACAATATATACGAAAAAGGGGAGCCGTGTTCAAAATGTGACTGCGAAAAGTGCCAATGCAGTACAGGAGATGGTCTTTGCTTGAATTCGTCTGTTACTTATTACTTTAGTTCTTCATCTATGAATGGTTCTCCAGGTGCAGGCGTTATTCTATTTTTGCTGTCCTCACTTGGGTTCACACTGTTCTGAAAACTTGTAGTGAATGTTTATTTCGAATTTTAAATACTTTATGAGTACCATATTTTGTCCTCGAACTAAACGCATATTATGAATGCGTAACATTTTGCCACCCCATAGCATGCTCCACTTATTACTGTAATTCAATATCACCAGCCTTCAGCTGCCATCCCTGCTCAGAGTAAGATTATGGCTTATGTTAATTCTCCACTGCTTTCTAATTGTCCGTAATGGTGAAACATGTGGCGTGGCAACATACTGTACATTTGTAAGCGGGCAATCAATAAATGGTTTCCTATACGGTAAGTTGAATGCGAAGATGATTGGTTACAGGAGACGGCGACGACGTGAAGAGTACAGTAGGAGCAGAAAAAAAGCCAGTGGGAGAAGGTGGGCAACAGAGCTCTCCAATGGAGCCAGAGACAGGGTCAACTACGCCGAGCTGACGTAGCCTGGAGTCTGAGCACAGCATTCAGCATCCCTGTTTCTGGTGCTTGTTATTATAACTTTACCAGTCCGTCCGCCCAGCTTACGGCGGGCTTCCCTCCTCCTTTTACTAAATTGTAGTAGTCGGCTAACTTTCCACTCCTTCTTCGAAACATAATAGTTCCCTGTACACGAACTTTGACACAGGACTAACAGAGCAGTGCAAATGGTATTCAGTGAAAGTCGGTGCTTACGCCTTTGAGTGGAAGTGTCGATCGTCTGCTCTCTTTTTTTAAAAATAAATACCTATCAAAGATTCAACTGTTAGACAACCAAAGTCTTGGGCGGTACTTTCAAATGTTTCGAGCGGTGAAAACATCATCATCAGAACTGGCGGTCGGTTAAGTTTGCTGCAAATGTAATCGGACAAATAGGACCCTTCATTAAGTCACAAACCTTGCTGGGTAGCAGTCCTAATCTAACAGCAAGAAATGAACAAAACTCTCATATGCTTATCGTATTGCCGCTAATGGGTCTCCATCACTGCAGCTCACCTTTGTCACCCTACACTAGCATCCCGTCTTTATTGAATGAAACATATTGAACGCTCTAAGCTACCTCGTGAATACCGGAGACGTTAGGATTTTGATCGGTAGGTCGCCTCTCTTACAATTAGGCCTCTCCCTTATCTTCTCCTATCAGTCAGTTATTATAGGTTCTTGTCACCGAGTACCTACGATCTCGTCATATCCTACATCAAATAGTGTCCTATCTTATCCTACATCAAATAGTAAACTGCCGAGGTTCCACTCTTAATACGAAAAATGTAATCCTACCAAATTTAAACGCTCTATGTCCTCGTAGGCAGGAGTTATGAGTTTACGGCCTAAGTTTCTATTGCGCAGGCCCCGCTCCCTGTAAACGAGTCCGGTCCTGCAACCCATCATAAGTGTTCCCATTGTGTCGCCTGTACTCCTACCAAGTTTGGAGGTTCTAGGTCCACGGGAACAGGAGTTATGAATTTCCGGTCAAACACACAGCAACACATACACAAACAAACACAACGACAAGCCAACTGACACACTTAGCGAATTATATATATAGTAGGATATTAGATAAGCATCAGCTGCTATTGCTTCAATTGTACTTCTGAAGCGGTTAAACCCTCTCACCTGGGTTAGTTCTGATTTGTCGTTTTGACATCGGCGTTCCTTTTGGTGTGCTTTCAGCCAGTTCACATTGTTGATGAAGACCACTGTGCTCGAATTTTCGTTTTTCGTATCCTCTAATCGATATCTTGTCTTATTGTCTCCGGTCGAGGCGGGCTCGTTGGAACGATCGGCTGGCCAGGGACGGCTACATATGCTTCATATCGGTCTACTAACTGTTGTCCGACCACTATATTCCCTTTAATGTTTACACAAACTTCTTCCTACAAAATTCCAACTTTCTGAAGCTTCCCCCATCCTGCATTGCTGAGTATGGTGCTGTTAAATCGAACTGGTCGCGTCGCGGCGAGAGCGACGTCGGCACGAAGTGTAGCAGAATGAAGCGAAAGCAGTCAGGAACACAGGAACAAAGAAGTAATAGTAGAATCAAAATAGTGATCTCAATCGGTTGCCGCGTGCGGCAAATCTATCACACAAGACCTATTCAGCTTCCCGTCTCCTTGCAGTCCTTTTTTCTTCTTCTTATTTGCACCTTGCATATATGGCTGCACACTCTCCTGGAAACCTCATGGCTTTAAGCAGCACCAATCAACTGATTCGCTGAAGAGGGACCTGCTCAGAGCATGGGAAGGAATACCTTTGGAATACCTTCGCACCACAGTGGACGACTTCCCATCATGTCTGAGGGCCTGTGTCCGAGCCCGCGAAGGGATTTTCGAGATTCGAATTGACTGTTTGCAATAGCTTAGTACAAATAAAGGGTTGTAGAAAAGTTAGTACTCAAACTTGTGTTTGACGATTTTACAGCGGTGGATATTTGAGCAAGTTTTTGGCGCATCCTGTATAGAAGAGGCATGCGAACTTCGCCAAAATTCTGGGAAACATGCCCTTTAGGGTGCAAAAAAGGTGGTCGGTAGTAATAGCCATTCATATAGCAGCATCTGTACAATTAATGATTGCTACTGAATCCACAAACGTAGTGTAGTCTGATTAGCAGAGATTTGCTTCGCTTAGTATAAGCATCTACTTCTTAAAGGTTGTGGTCATGGTGAGTGTCCGCTTAGAACTGCGTTACTTTGTAGAGCCATTTCTGGCCCCTTTTTCATTTGAACACGGCATTTGTCAATCAGCCTGCGAATCTTCCGGTGCTTCCCTTGGAGTCATTTCTCATTTCGATGGTCGCAGAACGTATCGGAATTAGTGAAAAAGGCGCATGGCTATGACTGTAGGCTCATTTCCGTTTCTGCGCTGAGGAAACTGTGAGGGCTGTACATACATTTCCCTCGGTGAACAGTATCACCGGAGATGCTACCTCAACAGGTGGTAAGATCGGCAACAGTCCAGTCTCTGCGTTCTACCATAAGTGATTCCCGCTCATCATAGGCCGAGTCAACATTGTGAGCACTGCCCTGGCCTTTTCTTGCATCCATTCTTCCTTCAGTGGACATCAACACCAGTGTTTCGTAATACGCTAGAGAACGCTGTGCCTTCCAAACGTTGGTCCAGTTCATGATGAATTCTGAGCAGTTGTAGCTTTCATGATGCCCTCTTCAAAATCTCCGCGCCCATTTGAGTTGCTCATGTTTCTTTTGATGGTTTTGAATATTTTCTTCTGCAGCCAACGTGTCGACATTGGACCGTAACTAACTGCATTAGCTTAATATAAAAACAATGTCGATTGAGTCGCGTCTTCGACTTCCCGCCATCCCTTCAAGTGACTGGTCCCTTCAGAATGAGATGACACAATACAAATGGCGAAGTTTTGTTTGAAAAAAACGTGGTAGTACCACTTTTGTATATGTTTTGGCAAAGCTTTTTGCAGCACTTTTCTTTGATCAAGAATTTGTATGTGGGCGATTCAACCCAGCGATACATATAAAAATACGGGTTTTCACGTTTTTCACGAATTTTCTGAAAAATCCAAAAATCTGATGTTTTGGCTTACGTGGCTGTTGCAGCCTAGCTTTACGAATTTCGAAAAAGTCATGTTCTTGAGGTGCAATTTCACAGCAGTGGATAAAATTCAAGACAAGCTCAGTGGAGATCAGAAAAGTTCGGAGGTAATCAATATTATATGAGGTAACTGATAATCACAACGTATTGTTCAAGAAACATGGGAGTTGACGCGGATTATCGACTGCTTACGAACTCCACTTAAAGCATCCGCATTTCTTCGTTCCTTTTAAAGTCCTCGTATATTCCTCTGTGCTCGGTCGAGTTACGCCTTGAAGAAGGAGCCGTCTTTTGAAGTTCTTCTGCACCTGTTTCTTTCAAAGGGATTTTCTCGATTGAAGTACGGTGAACACTTCCGACTCTTCCAAGAAGCCAGAAGGTCTCCATCACACCTTTTCCCTATAAATATATGTCATAGGCTCGATAGAACTGCATTTTAAGAAAAATATTCTAAAAATAGTGCAAAAACAGTATCATTCTTCCAACATACCTTAATTATAACCTCTCCTCTTGATTCAACTTCGAATCCTCCTATTTCAGCCAGAAGGAGTTGAGCTTCAAATGAGAGATGAATTTTTCCAGCTGAATTGTCAATGCATTACGCTACTCAATTCTAAATCCTCAGTTTTTAAGCGAAAAAAGATTTGCTAAGTTTTCAATCAAAACGGAGGTGTTTGGAAAAATTTGATAGGCTTTTTCCAATGACATAATCGAAAAGGAGTGATTTAAAGCTGCTCTACAATAGCCTTTGACTGGTTTGAAACGTCCTATAGGGAAGAGAAATGCAAGCGTTCAGGTAAGTATATCAACGTTCGCTTGTTGTCAGGATGTATTCTGAAGTTCTCTAGAACTCCCATTCCCCTCTATTTTCCAAAATATTATGTTCCTTAAATCATTAATGATCTGCAACTTACGTTTTCCATTGCTTTCCATTCTGCTTGCTGTATTCACGGTGTCACCGAACAGGCAGTATCGTGGCATTGTCAACCCCACCACGCCAGCCACCACAGAACCTAAAAAAGCAAAGATTCAAGATTAGGACAGTATGAGGGCAAACTCGATTCGATTGTACAAGTTTGACCGTTTTCAATGGATCAAAGAGGGAACGGAATAATCTCTCATCGAGCCAAATCACTACAGCAGGAACTGAACTGGCACCAGCAACTGGTTCCATCATCAGCTCGGAACACTTCCTTGTGTCACTATGATCCCTACCTTGGTGATTGTGTTCAACAAAAATGATAATAAATGAATGAATTAATAAATAAAACTTGGAATATTGAAAGATAAAAATTCGAAAGCATTTAATAGAGCATCCAGTTCAATTGTCTTATTTGCTGTTGGGCATTAGGTGACTTATAAGTCGATTTCAAACCTTTTTTACAGCTCTCCGTTTGTACTGCGAGAGATATGGTACACACTTTATCGAAATGATCTCTCTAGAAGGTTCTGGCTTGCTGTACATCTTTGGAAAAAGTCAAAAATTAAACGGTCATTATCATAGTGGGGCCTACTTTTGAATGGCTTGCCCAGGTGGCTTTGCTTTTGTAAAAGTCGAATTTACCTGTGTGCACTCCAATCCTTAGATTGACGCCATCATGAGAAAGATGAGGTATTTTGAAGTTCCTGAGACTGTCCATAAAGTCGAGTGACATGCTACATATTTCATTTATGTGTTGCTTCCCGTTCCTGTGAGGTAATCCACTCACGCAGAGGTACCCATCACCTATTGTTTCTACCTGAACAAACAAATATGCCGCTGATGACGTTTATTTTCTAGAAAATATAGAACAGCTTAAACCTACATTCCAGTAAGTAGCTGATATGAGGGATTTAATTTTAGCTCCAAAACTCACCTTATAGACGTCATGGGCATCAATTATTCCGTCGAATATTGTGTAGAGGTCGTTTAGCAGATTGACGACCTGAACGCATTAAGCTTTAGTTGTCAAATCAACTGACCCATGGGAATACGATTTTCAAGGGTCGCCTTAGGATTCCTTGCCCTCCCGCTCCCTACGGAAATTTTTCAAGGCAACCTTTTCGGGTGTGGTGCGTTAGGAACGAAATGGTCGCGTCGCGGTGAAAGGGGCGTCGCGCGCGAAGGAAGGTAGCAGGATGCAGCAGTAGGTAATAAATACAAGAACAAAAGTACTAATAGTAGAATTATGCATAAAATAATGATCGCATATCGGTTGAGCTGTATGAAG